GCTCCATGTTTAGCAGTTTGAGGAACCTCCAAACAGTTTTCCATAGTGGTTGTACTAGTTTGCATTCCCACTAGCAGTGCAGGAGAGTTCCTTTTAGGAGAATGATCAGGTTTATTTTTATTTACTAAATCTTTCTCATTTTCTTAATCATTTTGAATGAATCTGTATAATCTATCAAGTGTCTCACCCCACACATAGCCCCAGCCCGTATATTAAAAAAATATATATATATTCTTTCTGCTCCAGTCTGGGTTGGATATACTTTAGTATTCTGTTTATAAGACCATACAATTCTTCCTCTTTGGTGACTTATTCCATTAACTGGGAGGCATACCCCCAAGTGAGTTTAATGAAATCTACTTTTCTAGGGCCACTGGAAAGAGCAGAAATGAAAAACATGGAAGAATTTTCTTTAAGAAATTTTGAGGAATATGTTTGACCTGGAAATCTTGACAATATACTTAGTTTAAAGGAGAACATTCAAGCATTGTTAATAAGGAAAATTCCTTGGAATCATATCAATCATTGTATGGTTGCAATCTTTATTAACCTTCACAGTTGGTTGCTATTATAGACTTCTACAGCCAAAAAAAAAGGAGTCTCAAAGTTGCTTTACTTTTCTTAATCCTTCAGTGCTGCAAAGACTGATAATTTTTAACTCTTATGCCTTTGTAGGAAATGATCTTTTCTCTCTGCAAATATTTAAGGATCTGCTTTTTTGCCCTAATCCTTTAGTTTGGGACTTTTAGTATGGGCCTTTATTATGGATGTGCTTGGCATTCAGTTAAAATTATAATCTGGAAATTTCTATTCATCAGCTTTATCAAATTTTCTCACAGTTCACTAAAAATTCCCTTTCCTCTGAGGCAATCTATACCCGCCCTCTAGAAATCTATACTTAAACTGAGCCATCTAGCCATGTATCATTCTTCTGCATGATCCTTGTGTTTCCCATTTTCTCTTACATTTCTCTTCTTTGTTGTACCAATTGAGAGTTCCTAAATTTTATTTTCCAACTTTTACACTGAAAAAATTTTTTTTTAATTTATTTTTAAAGATTTATTTGTGCATACAGAACTGGGGTACAGGCCAGAGGCTCAGGGGTGGTGAGAGATTTCACCAGAGACAGAGTGAGGAACAGAAATGTTTAGAGTGATCAAATTTAGGACCACACCA